GCGGCATAATTGCAACAATTATTGCTTCATTAAGCACTGTCAATGGAAGCTGCCTTGAACTTCCCTTTCCTCTCATCACTATCACAAACCAAGGTAAATTGATAGACCCATTTATAGTTGTATGACTGTTTTGGTATTTAATAATAGTATATATATAACTCAATTTGTTACAATTTTAAATTATTTTCTTTAAAAGTGTGCACAGTACCAACTGATTGCAAAGGATGGCAAAACATAGGAATTAATCAAAATGGAGTGTATTACATACAACCAGACAGTGGAGCAGCTTTTCAAGTAATTTCATAATTGCTTGCTACTTTTATTATTATTATTACTATCTAGGTGTATTGTGATATGGAGACTGATGGTGGTGGATGGACTGTATTCCAGAGGAGACAAGATGGATCTGTTGATTTCTATAGGAGCTGGACTGACTATGAGAATGGATTTGGTGACCTTTCTGGAGAATTTTGGTTAGGATTGAGCAAGATTCATCGTCTTACTAGTAAAGGAATAAACACCTTGCAAATAAAAATTGGTGATTTTGAGGGCAATTCATATTATGCCCAATACTCTACATTTAGTATTGGCGATGCTAGCACTGAATATAGGTTAAATGTAAGTGGCTATAACTCTACTGGAACTGCTGGGGATAGTTTACTATATCATAATAGAAGTAGTTTCGGTACTAAAGATAATGTTAATGATGAGAAGAATTGTCCGATACATTGGAATGGGGGCTGGTGGTTCAGTAAACAAATTCATTGCTTTTTATCTCATCTCAATGGTCGATATGAACATCAACCAGACACATTTCCTGATTGGAGTGGGGTTATTTGGAATAGCTGGAAAAGTGGTTATACTCTTAAGAATGCAGAAATGAAAATTCGCTGAAAACTTTTCTTGTATCAGTATTGTGTATGTGCTGCTAAGACTATTTGCTATTTCTTTTTTGCTGTTATAAATTTTTTAATTGTAAAAAATCCAATTTTGATTAGAACCCACTCAAAATTTTTGTACAAAAAGTACATGTATAATATAGAATCAAAATATGTAAAAGGAGCCTCTCCTATATTCGTTTTTTATTGCATTGGTAATACATGTTGATTAATTATTGTTAGATTACAAATTAGTTGATACTATAAGTTGTAACTTAACTACGACTGTGGAGGATGGAGAGTTAAAGGTGGAACTTATTGGTGGTATAAACATAATGTTTAAACAAAAGAAATTGAAAATGCATTGTAACTAATAATAAGTGTCTTTGAAGCAACTTTAAAATATTAGTAAAAAAATCTAATTTTTAGCAAACTTTCTATGCAACATAAGAATATAGATATATTATCAGAAAAAATATTATAAATATAGCAATTCTCAAAATTTAATTTTTGACAAAATTTGGCCAAAGGGAACAGGGACTTAGGCTCGATTTTGGAGCAAATTTTAAAATTTGTTAAAAATCTAATTTTAATGTAATCGAGTCAACTCAAACGCTTTTGTCAATCTATGCCCTTATGCTGTTATTGTGCACGTGGAGTGAGATGATTATTGTTATGAATAGGTTGTCAGTTACCTATTGACTGTAAAGGAAGCTTTTTATATAGCTTCTATAGATAGTGGAACAGCAATTCAAGTATTAGTGTACACATTGTTATTGATTGGTACATGATAACATGCAGGTATACTGTGATATAGAGATGGTGGACTGTATTTCAGAGGAGACAAGATGGATCTGTTGATTTTGATAGGAGCTAGACTGACTATGAATTTGGTGATTTTACTAGAAAATTTTGGTTAGGATTGAGTAAGATTCATCGTCTTACTAATAAAGGAATGAACACCTTGCAAATAGAAATTGGCGACTGTGAGGGCAATTCATATTATGGGTCTTGACCTTCAGCCTTGGATTGATCTTATTGAAAAGGTAAAATAATATTATACTTGTAATAAGTGGAAGTGAGTGTGTACATATTGTCTTGTTTGTTATTATGATATTTGACTGTCTCTAGTCCAATTACTAAGTACATGTATCCACTATCCACTCACACTAAAGTTTACTAGCAGTCTGGGGTGCCATTCACATATTATGCATGTACATGTATATTCTTTCATCTATATGGTAGATGTTGTTTATTTGTGTATTATATGGTAGGGCAATTTATAATATGCATTTCAGCTCAAACTATTTATGCAACATAAGAACATGTGTATGCATCAGAAAAATAGAGAATTTTGTTTGGCAAAATTGGGCCAAAGTCCCTGGAATAGTTGGAGAAACAGTTATACGTTTAAGAATCAGAAATGAATATCCATTATAACAATCAATTGAAATAGACTAACAAACTCAAGTATGTGTACACACATTGATAGATGTATATACTCTATAATACTTTGAACAAGTCAAAATGCAAAAATAATCATAATAAAGGAAAACTCAAGTATCTAGCAACAAAAGGAAAGTTATCATTGCTAGATCATGTAGGACAACAGCATTGATTTTTAAGAGCCTCGTCATCACTATTAAGCCAATCCAAGATAGCGGCAGAAGATCCACCAGCACCAAACAACAACACTTTACCTGCAAGTGATATCCCACTAGCTGCAATAGACTGTAGTGTAGCAACTAATCCACCTGCTACTGTGGGTGCAAGGTAACTCATCAAATAGGAAGCTATGGAACCAGCAGCAATCCCAACAGTAGTAAATCCTAGTAAATACAATATATATGGGGTTGCCACTACAACTACTGTTCCACCTATGGTCACCTTTAAAACAGAATAACCTTTTGACAGGATACTCTCAAAAGTGCTGGTGCCATTATATCTTTTGCAATCTTTAGGGCACACTTCTTTAACTTCACATTTCCAATGGGCATCAACTTTAAGTTGATCGTCACCATAGACAGCTTGAACTGAGACAAGTAGATAAAGCAAAAACAAAGCTTTGCTTTCCCTTGATAATAGCATGATGAGGGAGATGAACAATTGCTGAGCAACAAATTCTTAAACTAGAGGGTGTTGCCTAAATAAATTCATAGTAGAGCTAATCGTGTTTACACAAACATAAATAATTCTTCATTTGTTCTGCACAAACTGTGAAATGTAAAATTACATAGATCTAATTTCTTCTACATAGCAATCTAGTTGTTCAATAATTTTGATTCATTTTGATGACGGCAGCCAATGTCAAACTAGTTTTGGTGAATCAACAAAGTTGGATCTGTTCTTGTACAGCGTAAAAATTAATAATAGTAATGATTTATTTTGAATACTTGCTGGTATTATGTATGTGTATTCTTTTGTTGGTACATGATATACCAGTATAGCATGATGCAGGAATACTGTGATATAGAGACTGATGATGATAAATGACTGAACTGTTTTTATATAGAGGGAACAAGATGGATATGTTGCTTTCTATAGGACTTGACTGACTATGAGAATAGATTCGGTGATCTTCTAGGAGAATTTTTGGTAGGATTGAGCAAGAAATTTATTGTCATACTAAAAATGAGTAAACACATTGTGAGTGATTTTGATAACAGTTCATTTTATGCCCAATACATTCTATTGGTAATGCTATAGATTAATTTAACAAAGTATCAGTCAAATAAGATTATAGAAAAAACTGTATATAATAAGGGAAAACTCATGTAACAACAGTCTAAAGGATAAGGTTAATGTCATAACTGTCAACTAGTTGTATGAATCTGGCCATCAAAAAGGGCAGGAGCTACAGCAGCACGGATTTTTATAGTCGTCCGACTCATTAAACCATTCCCAGAATGACTCCAAGATAGTAGTAAGCCCTCCAGTAATAAATGAAAAAATACTGAACAACCAAGCTTTTACTGAAAATGTTATGCCAGCAGCTCCATAAGACTGAAGTAAAGCAACTACTCCACCAGCTTTTGTAGGTGCCAGTAAAGCCATTAATTTGGCAGCAAAGGAACCAGCAGCAATCCCACCAGCCGTAAATCCTAGTTTAACCAATAGAACTGGAGCTGCCACTACAACTGCTACTCCGCCAGCTCCAGCTATGGCCACTTTTAAAATAACATAACCTGCCGGGTCATTGTTGTATTGTCTGCAATGCTTAGGACACACAGTTTGATCTTTGTAGGACTGGGCAACTTTAATTTGGTCATAGCTGTTGACAGCTTGAACTGAAACAAGTAGATAGAGCAAGAACAAAGCTTTGCTTTCCTTTGATAATAGCATGATGAGCTCTGGTTGAGGGGAGATGGGCAATTGAGCATTCACAAACAGCCAAACTTGAGTCAGTTGTGTACATTAGGGAGGGGCTATAAATTCTTAGTCTAGTGGGCATGGGTGGTGTGTTGTCTACACAAACTTATGACAACTGCACAAACAGCAAAAAATTAAATTAAAATTACATCTATTATATCTACTTCTACATAGAAATAACATCAATTCGTTCAATAATTTGACTCATTGATGGTCGTTTCAAAGGATCGTCATGACAGCACGAAACAATGAGAGAGTGTAGGAGAGACCCTTGTGTCTTTCTTGAACCACGTGGTTTGCTGTTAATACTCTGCACTTGGCAAAGCATGTCTCGAAATACATCTCGATCTGGAAAACGACAAGTTATTATTTCACAAAGTAAAACACCATAACTGAATGCATCCATTTTTGTAGTTTGCAGCTTTTTGGAATCTAAGCTCATGATATGCTGAGCAATAGCTTCAGGTGCTGTGTAAGGCTCAGCTCCTGGTAGTCTGGTGACTGCTTTATTTGCTGCTTTTGCTGATCCAAAGTCAGATATCTTAGTCTTCCATTTCTTGTCTCCCTTTGATTCCAGTAGTACATTAGCACTGCTGACATCACGATGAATAATAGGATCAGGTAGACAGTGTAGGTAGTTTAAACCCACAGCTACATCACGCATTATGGAGAGAATCACTGGTCTACAGCCAGGATCAGGAGTCAGCTCTTTCCTCTCATAAGCTTTACGCAATGAGGTATCCATTACTTCAGTGATAATCATAGGATTACCTGATGGATGGTCTAACACAGCTCCTATAAACTGGAGGAGATTAGGATGACGCAATTGAGACATTGTATTGATCTCACGATGAAGATTCTCCA